TCATACCAACATGGGCCAGATGAAGCGATGTCCTCCACAACTAGACTGAAGAACAAAACAGCAATTTGTCTACCTGTCTGTTCCCCTTCCTCGATTCCCCAACACTGTTCCCCTCCCCCAATTCCCCAATAAAATCTTTTTTTAAAAAAAAGAAAACTACGTGACCCTACAGGTTTCTAGTTAACACTAACTAATTTTATGTGTTCAGACTCCTTAACCAGGTAATTCTGCTCTCTACAATTACAGTCACTCAGGTGCACAAAGCTAAATTTATGGGCTGTTCATTCAGCAATATTTGCAAAGGCAAAGACCTAGAAAAAACTAAATATCCATTAATAAGTGTATTGGGCAATAAATTATAGTTATTACATAACAGAAAACTAGTCACTACAAAAAAATCAATCTATAGATATTGATATGAAGGGTTGCTGGTGATATTAAGTTTATAAAAAGGCAAGTTGCAAAATAGTATTACCATATGATCCCATTTATATAAAAATAAATACCCAAAATGTATGTTTTATATAATATTCTGGAAATATATATTCTTAACTGTTAAATAACTCCCTCTTGGAAAAGGGAGAGAGAGAAAACAACGTATTCACGTATTTATAGCTTTTTTGAAGTTAACTGACTTCAATTTGATGAGTTTTGACTGATGTATACGCCCATGAAACCACCACATTCAAGAACAGGGAACATATCCATCACCACAAAAGTATGCACATGTCCCTTTGTAATCAATCACTCCCTCCTTCCACCCACCCTGACCCCAGGGAACCACTTTCTGTCACTACATACTATTTGTGTTTTCTAAGTTGTTTTTTTTTTGAAATTTACTAATACATTTATTTTTGTACCATTTTAATTTGAGAAGATGCTTATAGTGACTATTTCCAGAAATTTCTACAGAGATGCATGAATTGGATGGAGGTATTAAATTGCTACAATGAAATACAAAGAATCACATAAAATATTAACTTAAAGGATACAATTTCTTAGATTTCTTTGAATACTTTGGCCTAAGTTTTAAAATACAAATGGAATCATATAATATGAATTCTTTTTTGTCTGACTTCTTTCACTCAGCATAATTAGTTTGAGATTCATCCACGTTCTTGTGTGAATTAATAATTCCTTCTTTTTTATTCCTGCGTAGTATTCCACTATACAGACATATCACAATTTATGAATCTATTGGGTTGTCAGAAAAGTCATGATGCATTTTAGCAACGAAAAACATAGAAAAATACGACATGACTTTTCCAACAACCCAATATTTACCCTATGATACACATTTGGGCTGTTTCCAGGTTTTGACTCTTACAAATAAAGCTGTTATTAATATTTGTGCACAAGTTTTTGTGCAGACATACAAGGTCAGACAATTAAGTTCGCGAACTCATCCTAGAAAAAGTGCTACATACCTCACTGCTAAATATCACTATGGTCACATTTGAAGTACTCCCCTTGGGAAGCTATGCATCGATGCCAGTGCCTAATTCACCCTTCAAAGCAATTTTGGAACTCTTTTTCTGGAATGGCCATCAGAACTGTCACCGTATTACCCTTGTTGCCTGAATTTCATCCAAATGTTTTCCTTTCAATACTTGCTTTATCTTCGGGTAAAGAAAGGAGTCATTGGGGGCCAGATCCAGTGAGTAGGGAGGGTGTTCCAATACAGTTATATGTTTACTGGCTAAAAACTCCCTCACAGAAAGTGCCGTGTGTGCTGGTGCATTGTAGTGAGGCAAGAGCCATGAATTGTTGGTGAAAAGTTCAGGTCATCTAACTTTTCACGCAACCTTTTCAGCACTTCCAAATAGTAAACTTGGTTAACTGTTTGTCCAGTTGGTACAAACTCATATGTATAATCCCTCTGATATAAAAAAAAAGGTTAGGGGCCAGCCGAGTGGCTCAGTTGGTTAAGAGTTGGCTTAAGAGCGCGAGCTCTGGGCCGACCGAGTGACGAATTGGTTAAGAGCTGGCTTGGGATACCAGAGGGCCCCAGTTCGGATCCCACATATGAGGGCCAGTGACATTGCCCTCTACGGCTAAGATGCTGAACAACAGCTCAACCTGGAGCTGGGCTGCCTGGAGTCGCCAGCGATGGTGTAGGCTGCAGCCCCTGTGGCAGCGGGTTGCCATGGGCCACTGTGTGTAGCCAGCAGCCAGTGTGAGCAGCCAGCAACCGCAGTGAGCGGCCGTCCAGAAGCCAGCGACTGATCTGCCTCGCCCAGGAAGAGTGCAATGACGGTGCCAACTTGGCCAGTGAAGCAACGTCCTCCACAACTAGACTGAAGAACAAAAAGGACAGCAACTCTTCTGTTCCCCTCCCCCCAATTCCCCAATTTAAAAAACCTTTAAAAAAAAAAAGAGCGTGAGCTCTGAGCAACAGGGCCGCTGGTTCAATTTCCACATGGACCAGTGACACTGAGCCCGAGCTGAGCTGCCGCTGAGCTGCCAACAGGTGGCAGAATGGCTCAGCTGGTGTAACAAGATCGCTTGTTCGATGGTGGGTTATGCCCACCTGCAACTAAGACTGAACTTGGCACCTTGAGCTGAGCTGATGTCCAGATGGCTCAGTGCATAGGGCATGCACTCCTAACAACAAGGCTGTCGGGTCTGACTCCCACATGGGATGGTGGCTATGCCCACCTGCAACTAAGACTGAACTCAGCACCTTGAGCTGAGCTGCAGTCCAGATGGCTCCAGTGGATAGGGCATGCGCTCTTTAACAACAAGGCTGCCGGGTTCGACTCCTATATGACATGGTGGCTACGCCCACCCGCAACTAAAATTGAACACAGTTGCCAAAGGGAAGCCAGATGGCGACTGGTACTCTCCACAACGAAGATTAAAGAACAATAACTTGGGGCCGGCCGAGTGGCGCGATGGTTAACAACTGGCTTGGGACACCAGAGGGCCCCGGTTCGGATCCCACATATGAGGGCCAGTGACACTGCTCTCCACAGCTAAGATGCTGAACAACAGCTCAGCCTGGAGCTGGGCTGCCATGAGTCGCCGGCAACGGCGTAGGCTGCAGCCCCTGTGGCAGTGGGTTGCCATGGGCTACCGTATTTAGCCAGCAGCCAGCGTGAG